GGCCTGGGATGGATTCAAACCCGCCACCTTAGGTGTACGTGGTTGGCGCCTTAGCCACTTGAGCCACAGGCGCCAAGCCAGGTTCAATTTTTTAGTAAGAACACCATACAGATGATACTGTGTTCTTTTATTAGATTACTTCAGGAGGGTCACGATGTTTCTTTCATGATTACTTTGTAAAAATAGCATAACTCATTAAAGGAAATTTAGAAAATAATAAAAAAAGCTTAGAAAAATAAACAAAATTTGAGAAACTACTCATGCAAAGTCCCATCCCTGTTTACCCACAAAATCTCCAGGACCTCCTGGGATTAATTCATTTAGTAATATAAGGAGTATTTATTGAGCATCTACTACTATATTCAAGCAATGTTCTTGGAGATGGCAACCAATGGAGATGTACCAATGTTGGCATTATTACTGGTACAAAATATGACTGAAAAAAGACAAACAAGGCTCGGTGCCCGTTGCTCAGTGGTTAGGGTACTGACCACATACATGGGGGCTGGCATGTTCGAACCCAGCCTGCTCCTGCTGAACAACAATGACAACTACAACAACAAGTAAATGACAAAGTGGTAATAAAGGGCAAAGTATAGATTAAAAGAAATTTGAGACATATCAGCAAACTGCAATCTGTGAATCTTGTTTGAGTCCTGATTTAAATAAATTTAACTATTAAAAATAATTTTTGTGGTGGCACCCGTAGATCAGTGGGTGATCAGCAGTGAACAAAATAAAGCCTGACATCATAGAGCTTACATTCTAGTGTGGTAGACAGTTGCTAGAGAAACAAAGAACATATGGGAATAACCATTAAAGAGAAAAATAAAGCAGGGTAAGGGAAAAAAGGGAGTGCAATGTGTATGTGTTGGGGGAAGAGGCCTCAGTGAGAATGTGACACTGGAAGACAGCCAAATAATGTGAGGAAACAAGCCATATAACAAATGGGGAAAGGGCAAAGAAGAGAAGGAACAGAGAAGACAAGCCCTGGGCAAGACCATGCCAACAGGGTAGCAGGTAGGACAAGGCAGTAGGAAGGAATGATTCAGGAGGATGTAGTAGGAGAAGATACCAGAAGGTAGTTGGGAGGCTGAGTAGGTA